AAGGAGAAAGGCATTTTCTATTTTTCTTTCACATAACTGTGTTCCCCAGGTTCATCATTATTATCAGCAATAATATTAACATTCATTGAATTTTAAACAAATTATAGCTGACAAAAGACAATTCATGGAATGTTCCTTTTATTGAAACAACATAACTAAGTAGCCTTTTTTTGTGAACCTATTTTTGTAAGAGTTTATTACTTGAGAGTTGGAATTACAGACAGAAGGAGAGCCAGAGAAAAGGGTCTTAGATCTGCTGCTTCACTCCTGAAATGGCTGCAATGACCAGAGCTGAGTCCATTATGAACCCAGGAGTTTCTTCCAGCTCTCCCAGCTGGGTGCAGAGGTCCAAGCACTTGGGTCATCTTCTTCTTCTTCTTTTTTTTTTTTTGGACAGGCAGAGTGGACAGTAAGAGAGAGAGACAGAGAGAAAGGTTTTCCTTTGCCGTTGGATCACCCTGCAATGGCTGTTTTGGCGGCACGCTGCAGCCGGCGCACCGCGCTGATCCGATGGCAGGAGCCAGGTGCTTCTCCTGGTCTCACATGGGGTGCAGGGCCCAAGCACTTGGGCCATCCTCCACTGCACTCCCTGGCCACAGCAGAGAGCTGGCCTGGAAGAGGGGCAACCGGGACTAGAACCCGGTGTGCTGGCGCCGCAAGGCCGAGGATTAGCCTAGTGAGCCGTGGCTGCCGGCCACTTGCGTATCTTCTACTTCTTTCCCGGCACAATGCAAAATCCTGATCCAAGGAGGAGCAGCTGCACCACAAACTGGCAAACATATGGCAGCACTGCAAGAGGAAGCTTAGCCTACATTGCCACAGCACCGGCTGGGCCTGTCTTCTTTTGAAACTTCTATGAGATATACGTGCCTTATTACAACTGTTTTGAAACAGTGGTTAATTCCCTTTTCCAGATAATCAAAACACTTAAAGAAATAAAACAGCAATCAGGTAAAATCATCCCAGCAGGTTTTACTACTATTAATTCTGAGAATCATATCTCCAGGTATACTTCAATTGGTATTTATTGATATGGCCAATCCTATATATAACTTCAACATATTAAAGTTTTAATTTGAAAGTTATCACTAAAGTTATAACTTCAACACAATTAAATTCTGCATCATGTATCAATTTGTGAATGTAAAAATGTACTTCAACATTCTATTAATTTAGGCTTTTATGCATAATATCCCCTTGATGAGTACATTCAGAAAATATCTATCAGAATTTCAAAAAGTATCCCAGCAGGTTTTACTGCTATTAATTCCAAGAATTATATTTCCAGGTATTCTTCCTTTGATACTTATTGATATGTCTAACCCTATACATTACTGCCTTGTATTGATTTGTGAGTGTAAACATGTCACTCACCCATCTATTAATTTAGGCTTTTATACACACTATCTCAATGGGTTTATTCAGAGAATATCTATCTGGATTTCTAAAATTAACAAATATTGCCGGTTTCATTTCAGCTGCTCCCTTCCCATCCAGCTCTCTGCTATGGCCTGGGCAAGCAGTAGAAGATGGCAGAGTGAAGGAGAGAGGGAGAGAAAGAGATCTTCCACTAGCTGTTTCACTCTCCAAACTGCCAGACAGCTTGGGCTGGGTCAGGCTGACCCAGAAGTTTCATCAGGGAATCCCATTTGGATGCAGGTGTCCAAATGTTTGGACCATCTTCAACAGCTTTCTCAGTTGCATTAGCAGGAATCTGAAGTGGAGCAGCAAGGATTGCACAGGCACTTCCATATGTGATCAACCCTCAGTTTAAGTTGTGATAATCTCTGTCATTCCAAGCACATTCCATTTTTTAAAAAAATTTTTTTTAACTTATTTGAGGAGAAAGAGAGAGGCAGAAAGAAAGGCCTTCCATAGTTATACAAACTATCTCGATGGGTGTAGTCAGAGAATATCTATCTGGAATTCAAAAATTTACAACTGTCACCTCCCAAATAATTATTCATTTCAATCAAGAGAACTTTTGTGTAATTTGAGATTGATCCAATTGCTTTTAACTAAATCACCTGAGAAGGTGTTCACCCAAAGAATGATGGGAAATAGTGCCCCTCCCCCTAGTCCTCTCTGCTACAGTAACCCCATCAGGGCCGGGCTTGCTCCTCTTGTATAAAAGTCTCACCCAGTCAAGGTGTATCTTGTTCTGAGGCTTGGTGTTGGCTGGGCTGTGGAGACCTTCTGATCCTCCAGAGCCCAGGGAACTCAGAGCCACCTACCTGACCCAGGATCCAATCCAAGAAGTTGCAGAGGACCAATTCCAATCGTCAGGTGAGTACTGGGTCCAAAGAAATGAATTCAAGTTTTTTACCTTAAACCTTGAAAACAGAGGAATTTTCATTTTATGACTTGGCAATAAGCAGTCTTCTGTTGCTTTCAGGCATATGTTCATGTGTCTAAGAAATATATATAAGTCATCTAGGGGGTGAACCAATGGAAGGAAAACCTTTCTCTCTTTCTCTCTCTCACTAACGCTGCCTATCAAAAAAATAGAAATATGTATAAAAATTTTTGACTATTATACTTTTGTATCTTATAAATTAATATATTTTCTGTTATTTTTCTGATGCCATATGCATCAAATGCTGAAGTTCTGGCAAGGTTGCCATAGAAAATCTTCTTGTGGAATCTGTAAAATGATTTCTCTACAGAAATTTTACAGTGCAGCCAGGTTGTCTAATGATGGTTTAATCTAAGCTAGGAAGGAGCCAGAGCTTATTCCAGGTCTCCAGTGAAAGGCACAGGGCCAAGCTCTTGAGCCATTTGCCAATGCTTTCTCAGGCATGAAAGTGGGGAGCTGGATTGGAAGTGGAGCAGCTTGGATTACACCACAGCTCCCACATGGAATGCCAGCATTGTGAGCTGTGGCCTAACCCTTAGGCCAGCCCCTAAGTTAACCATTCAAGAAAACATCTGAGACCATGGAACAAGGTCTTGGGGCCACTTTGGGAAAAAAAAAAAAAAAACATAATGGCAGATATTCACAGTGTTGGAACAACCCAGAGAGCAGCATCTAAAAGAGTGTAACTATGGGTGAAGGAGGTTTGTGGTGTAAACTACAACAGGACCAGAGTCCTGCAAGGAGGGTGGCAGCAGGGAGGAGGTGTTTCCTCTAAGGCAGAGGAGAGCCACAGGGACTTCTGCCATCCTCCCACCCTCTAACGTCTGCCAGTGTCAGCTTGTGCAAAAGCCTGGCGCTCTCAGCCCTCAGTGAAAGTTTCTTGGAACAATTTACATCTGGTCAACTTCCCCACATCTCCCAAACCCAGTCTACAGTTTGCTTGTCTCTTAGCCCCTGGGTACTATTTTCTGAACCTTGTAAATCCAATGAATCACTTTTCCACCTTCCCTGTAACCTCATGATGCAAATCCAATTAGTTCTGAAGACAGAAGCTCTCTCATTGAGTGGATTTGGTGGGTGGGTCTGGTGAAATCCTGTCAAAGGGGACACACCCAGAGGAGTTGAGATCAGAAGAGAGAATCCTGAACTGGAAACAGCTGTGCATAGAACTGAAACGACCAATCACATCTGCACTTCCAAAGGTGAGACTACTCATCACACACACTTTGAGTATAGAATTTAGAGGACAGGCCTTCATGTTCAGTTTCTTTTACAAATATACTTGAAGTTTAATGATCAGATTACAGATGTTTTATCAAAGCAAATGTGTCTTTTCTACTAATTTTTTTTTAAGATTTTATTTATTTATTTGGGAGGTAGAGTTAGTGAGAGAGAGAGAGGCAGAGAGGGAGAGAGAGAGAAGTCTTCCCTCCAACGGTTCACTCCCCACTTGGCCACAACAGCCAGAACTGCACTGATTTAAAACCAGGAGGCAGGAGCTTCATCCCAGTCTCCCACGTGGGTGCAGTTGCCCAAGCACTTGAACCATCTTCTACTTGATTTAAAGGACAATTGGCCAGTTGTTGCCCATTGCTGTGGTTGACTGTTCACCTTTTCAGAATGTGACCATCCCTCTGATGACATGAACTAACTCTGGGAAAATGATATTTTCTCAAACTGGAAATGATTTGCGTAGCTTACTACTTGAAGAAAATGTTCAGGTTGAGGTTGAAAAGGAAACTCACCTGCTTATTGTTTTAGAAGCTGAGCATTCAACTTAACACTGATTAAATCAAATAATCTTCAATTAAGCCTGGTCTCATAACTGATTTCAGAAAAGTACCTCTGAGTTGCAAGGCAGAGAGGATAGATCCATAGTATGGAGTTCCACTGTTTTTGTGTGTGTTAAAGCCGAGCAGTCCTGGAGGAAATGAATAGCGTAGGAGCTCAGAGAAGAGAGAGAGAGGAAGAGGATGAGGAGGAGGGGAGATGCAGAAAGAAATACTGATCTTGTGTTGCTTCTAGGCCAATAAGAAAATGAAAACAAACCTTGGAATCATCTCATCTTTTACCATCACCTTAAATTTCTCCAAATAAATTTGTTACGTACTGTTTATTATGTAGTTGAAGGGTTTATTTATTTATTTATTTGAAAGAGAAATTCTTAGAGGTAGAGACAGAGAGAGAGACAGGTCTTTGATTCTCTAGATCACTCTCCAAATGTTCCCAAAGGCCAGCACTGACCCAATCAGAAGCCAGGAGCCAGGATCTTCTTCTGGGACTCCCCATGGGTATGCTCAGTGGCCCAAGGACATTGGTCATCCTCTGCTAGCTTCTCAGGCACATCAGCAGGGAGCTGTTCAGAAGTAGAGCAGCCAGGACTCAAACTGCCACCCACATAGGATGTGGGCCCTGCAGCTCAGGGTTTTAATCTGTTGCGCTACAGCACCGACCCAGGTTACTTCCCTTAAACAACCATATTACATGTATTACTTTCTTATTTCTGTTAGATTGTAGACCCAGCATGTTTATACTCATGATGTATAGGTTTGTATGCAGGCAAGTAGGGGAAGAAAACGGTACACAGTGCATGCTTTCTCTCTTCAGGGAAGACCACTTTATTTCTCTCTGTTTTTAAAGGATCTTCATCGAGACATGGATCCAGCCACGTTGCAAGTCTTCCAGCAGGAACTCACATGCCCAATTTGCATGAACTTCTTCCTAGACCCAGTTAGGATAGACTGTGGACACAACTTTTGTAGATCCTGCCTTTCTCTGAGCTGGGAGGAAGCCGAGACTCCCATGTGCTGCCCAATGTGTAAGGAGATGTCAGAGAAGACAAACTTCAAAACCAATGTCGTGCTCAAGAAGCTGGCTTCTGCTGCCAGAAAGTACCAATTGAACCAGGTCACCAGGTTGCAGGAGCAGGTCCCTGGTGAGCAGACAGAAGCAGCAGGGCTCCTCACAGAGGTGGACAAGAGCCTGCACTACCAGCCTCTCTCTGGATGCCCACAGCCAGAGATACATGACCACACCATGATGGAATGTGCTGCTGAGGAGTCCCGGGTGAGTAATGCCTCCAGAGCCATGTGGATTCTCTGGGATCCTGAACTAGAGAGAAAGGTGGGGATTTGTGGAAATGGAGTGGAAGTGGGTGAGAATGGAGACTGTGATGGTAGTGATTTTTCCCTGTGAATCCCAAGATGTAAATGTGTCCTTCCATGTTGTTACTCAATGGACTCCATATTCACAATTGGGTTGAGTTGTCATGAGGGGGAGCCAGCTTAGAAGCACTGTCCATGCATGGCCAGTTGGTAAGGTGCAGTGCAAGTGGTCATCAGCAGAAACTTGGGCTTGTGCTGCAACTGTGACTGCTTCACAGCCAAGTAACATAAACACCGTTTCTAAGGAAGCCAATTTTATTGACTTTATTCAAATTTTCTATTGTAAGTTTCATCTTTTATTTTTAAGATTTACTTATTTCAAAGGTAGTTTTATATGCAAACACAGAAAGCAAAAGAGAGAAAGAGAGAGAGAGAGAGAGAGAGAGAGAGAGAGAGAGAGAGAGAGATGTGCCATACATTTTGTGGTTTCCACCACAAATGGTCACATGACCAGGGCTGGGCCAGGCTGTAGCTGGGAGTCAGGATATTCTTTTGGAACTTTCCTGTGGGTGTCAAAGGCCAAAGCACTTGGGACATCTTCCGTTGCTTTCACAGACCATCAGAAGGGAGATGGAGCAGAGGTGGGGGGGGCAGGACATGAACTGCAGCCCACATGGCATACTGGTTTAGCAGGAGGCCAATGAACTCATTACACTGCAATGTCATCCTTGTAATTTTCTACCACACTCTGTATCCCAAATCTAAGACTCAAATTAGGTCAACTTGTGAAAATATGACCACTCCACTTTAGTCACAATCACTTACATCAGAAAAAGAAGTCAGAATACAACAATTAGTAGTCTCAATACTATTCTCTCAACCACCACCATTTCTAATAAGTAAGGAGGTAAAATATACAAGCATATATTCCATGTTGCTAAATCTTATCATTATTCTGCAGGAAAAGCTTTTAAAGGAAATGAATACTTTATGGGAACTGATCCAGGAATTGAAAAACAATGTGACAGAGGAAATTAAAAAGACTCATTCATTCAAGGTAAGAATGAAAAAGATGTTCTTCAATTACTATAATGCTTACAATCACTATACTGCTTTGGCAAATTCTGTTTACCATGAAGAGTTTGTGATTTCCTCCCAGAAGCAGTGGTGGTTTCAAATGGTAACTCAGTGATCACAAATCCTGTGCCAGCCAAGACACCTAGTGAGAAGCATACCCTGGTGTATGGAAAACAGGTCATCCCAGATACTCCAAGTCCAACCCTGAAGGTTTACACAAACCTTTTCCAACAGGAAAGATAGCATTAAGTATGGCTATGAAGAAGCAGTGAAAAGTAGAATCGTATCAATTAAGAAAATGAAGTCATTAAAGAAAACTGTGTGACGTGGACTCTACCTAAATAGTTCTAATGATTTAGAAGAATCAGGCAAAGGAACAGAACAAACTTAAGTAGGCTTACATTACAGTCAAAAGAGTTGATGGGGTACAAATACTGAAGAAGCTTCAGAGAGGTGGTTGCGGGGGCGGGGGGGAGAATCACCTCAGATCATTTGGTGAATCTTGATTTAAACATAGAAAAAGACTAAGAACCTACAGGAGGCACGCACAGAAAAGACTTGCATATACTCAAGAGGTGTTTCATGGGTGAGGCAGAAAGTCTGCAAAGTACATTTTGAAATGTTTTATTTAGTTGAAAGATAGAGTGATGAGGTGAGGGGAGCATCCATGTACTTGTATATTCCCCAGCTTATAATGGCTGGACCAGGCTGAGAAGAGGAGGTTGAAACTTCATCAGGGCCTCCATTGTGGAAAGTAAGGGTCCAAACACTTGGGCCTTCATCTGCCTCCTTTCCAGGCATGTTAGAAAGCAGATGGATGAGAAGTGGAACAGCAGGGACTTGAAGAGGCACTCCTATGGGATGTCAGTGTCTCAGGCAACTCTGGAAATAATATTGGCCGTTTCCATTTTCTGTTCAGCATGAGATATGTAAACTTTTTACCTAATATCTCTGCAGGAATATGTGTCCTTAAGGGAGCTGATGATAAAAGCTCAGTACCAGAAGTTGCGTATATTTCTCCACGAGGAGGAGCAACTGCAGCTGCAGGCCCTGCACAGAGAAGCACAGGAGATTTCCCAACAGCTCAAGGGTAGTGAAATGAGAATGACCCAACAGAAACACCAGGTGATGAACACGTACAGAGAGCTGGCTGAGGTGTGTCACAAGCCTGACATGGAGTTACTCCAGGTGAGCAGGGAGAGTCCATGTTATGGGAAAGAAGTGCTTTTCTGGGCAAGGGCGTAAGAACCAAAAAATGATACCTGCACCTATCACTACTTTACGCTGCGTGATTCAGGTCTACTGCCCTGTATCTTTATTTTTGCCCGATCACTTGGTTCTGCATAATCTGATAATCTTTTGGGTGCTTTTCTTTGTCACAATTCAGATAAGATAAAAGTCCCTGCATTGTAAGCAGGAAAACTACTCTAGAGAAAATTATCCAGGAACTCAACGACCACACAAGGGTTACATCTTCGATTAATTCTCAATTTATTCTCCCCTCCAGGGGTGCTGATTGTCCAGAGGGTTATATAAGGCCTGTGATATCAATCGGTTTGGCCCTGCCTAGGCAACCCCAGAATATTCAATAAATCTGCAGGATATTTATTTTTAGGTGATAATTTGTTGTGTCCATGAATGATGTTGTAACTATCCAATTGCCTTTCACAGAAATAATATTCCCTACTCTTGCCTCCATCGTCACAAGGGTACAAAACAGAGAACAATTTTCTGATGACATTGAGGCCTTGCCTTTGCCTAAGAAAGCTTTGATAATCATTTGCAGTGAACTCCGATGTTCGGAGGTTTCCCTGCTTTGCAATAATGTTAGCAGCAGTCAGACCTCTCTCTGGAATGTGAGTGGGTGTGAGGCAACCTACAACCTAATCTTTTTACAGCTGCACATCTAAATCCTGAGTACCACCTTCTTAATTCACACAGAGGAAGTTCCTCATGGATCAGGACATAGTCTGTTATTAACAGACTCTGATCCCTCTTTACAGATCATAAGGAGAAAATATATTACTACAAATTAACAATGCAAGTATTTCATAGAGATCAGAGGAGAGAATTATCATAACTGAATGGTTTTTTTTTTTTTTTGCAGGATATGCAGAGTGTATTAGAAAGGTAAGTTTACAATGAGAATCTGCAATGTGTAAGAAAGTTGTGTTCTTGCTGATGCAGCAGATGCTTCTGTTTTGCATGATTTCCTTTGATCTTCCTGACTATTTACCATGTTGTTGGATAAGGGATTCTGAGGTCTTCTACTCTTTGGTGCCAGATGAGGTGTGGGTGAACCAAAATATACAAAAAAAGATTTGACTTTCTGGGCTTTATTTCACCTTCTCTCTCCTCCCCTTCCTTTGAAACTATTCCAACCAACCCTTATGTACATATTATTCTGAGAAATCCCAGAGCAGGCCCCACCCTTGAAAGAGGGAAAGTGAAAAACACACAGGAAAGAGCAATTCCCACAGCAGGGAAGGAGGAGGGAGGATTCACTCCTGGGAGCAGCAGTGAGCAGGTCCTGCCCTCTGAGTCTGTCCCAGTTGCTGGCTGGATCAGGGGCATTAGCCACCTCAGCTCCCTCCAGACCATGGCTGCCAGTTTGGATTTCCATTCCCTTGCTTGGCAGAAAAGCTCACAGCCTCCTGGCTCAGTGCAGATCCTCCTGACTGTACTGTTGGGGATGTCTGTTGACTGAATTCCCATAGATTCTACCTAAAAGCCCTGCTCTCTGTAGCTACTCAGGATTTCTGTTTTACCTGAAGTCAAGTGAGGGATACAGGGGGCAGCCACTGTCATTTGAGAGGTTGAATAATGTCTGAGAAGAAAGAGGCAAATGGATGTGATGTGAAATTTAGAGAGAAGTACTAATTTTATTTCACCTAAGGTAGTGAATACATTTATTCTAATTAGATGATAATGGGAAAATTCCCAATGAAATATCTTGGATTTACAGCTGGTACTTTTGATTTGACCCTGCCATTGCCCTTTGACCTGGAGTGTCACTCGTGTGATTCTTTACAGAGCAGAGCTGGTGCAGATGCTCCGTCTCCAGGGGGTGAACCCAGAGCTGACATTGCGGAACATCACTGGACTCAGAGAGATGCTAAACAACTTCAGAGGTGAGCTCAGCCTCCATCCTTCCAGCCCTAATTTCCTTCTTCACGGCTTTTGTGCCTGAGCCATTTCCTATTTTATTTCATTTTGTGTCCCTGAAAATGTTATAGGATTTTTTGAAACTGTGCCTTCTCTCTTTGTTTCATCACATTGCAATGATCGAAACTGAAATTTGTAATGAGCATGCTGATGTAAGCAAACTACAGGAAGAGTATCCAGGTCATTTGATTAAGAAGGGGTACAATGCTCACTTCTTAGAGCAGCAGTCAAAACTGTGTGTTTACTCCATTCACTGCAGGATTTTAGAGAGAAATAGAGAGAAAGGGAGCTCTTCCACCTGCTGCTTTACTCCCCAGAAGGCTGCAATGGCCATGGCTAGCACAGGCCAAAGCCAGGAGCCAGGAGCTTCTTCTGCTACTCCCACAAGGGTAGCAGAGGCTCAAATATTTGGGTCATCTGCTGCTGCTTCCCCAGGCCATTCTCAGGGAGCTGGATTGGAAGTGGAACAACTGGGACAGGAAGCAGCTACCATATGGGATGCCCGTGTCAGAGCCATCAGCCTTAACCACTATGCTGTAATACTGGCCAGATCTTAAAGTTTAAATTTGGCACTTGTGGTTTTTAATTTGTTCTATATGCCAAGTACATTTATGCTGCACTGCTAATATAGCTATTATCATTGATAAACTCAGAAGTACTTGACCAACCCAAGAAAGGAGAAATTCTCACAAGCAGAACCATTCCGGCTGGCACCGCGGCTCACTTGGCTAATCCTCTGCCTGCGGCCCCAGCACCCCGGGTTCCAGTCCGGTTGGGGCTCTGGATTCTGTCCTGATTGCTCCTCTTCCAGGCCAGCTTTCTGCTGTGGCCCGGGAAGGCAGTGGAGGATGGCCCAAGTGCTTGGGCCCTACACCCACATAGGAGACCTGAGGAAGCACCTGGTTCTTGGCTTCAGATTGACGGAGTGCACCAGCCACAGTGTACCACCCGTAGTGGCCATTTGATGGGTGAACCAATGGAAAGGAAGACCTTTCTCTCTGTTTCTCTCTCTCTCACTCTCTCTCACTGTCTAACTCTGCCTGAAAAAAAAGAGCAGAACCATTCCAATACTATCAATGATTCTGAAAACAATTAAATGATGAGAGATCTGTGAACACAGTGTAGTGATGTTAGGCCTGCAGTAGAGAGAGTTCAGGGACAGACGGTTGAAACCCAGATTGGGCTAAATCCACATTCTGAACAGATAAGCTGAAGTCAGAACATTCTTTAAATATACTACTTATTGGAGCATGAGTTTTATTTTGGAAATATTCAGATGTGTAGCTGATTTCCCATTTAAGATCTATCACATTTCAAAGTATTGTATTTACAAATGGAATTAAGTAAAACACTAAAGGATACTTTCCTAGCCAAGAAAGTAGAAGTTGCATAGTTGTCTCAATACATGCTATCGAGTGGTAGGCATTTGGCTCAGCAGTAAAGTGTCTTGGGCATCCTTACCCCATAGCACAGTGCCTGGGAATCAGTCCCACCTCAGCTTCCATCCAGCTTCCTGCTAATGCACACCTTGGGGGGCAGCAGATGTTACCCCCAATGTCTGGATCCCTGCCATCCATGTGGGAGACCATGTTTGGATGCTGGCTCCTGGCACAGGCCGGGCCCAGCCTTGGTCGTGGGTATATGGAGAGTGAGCGAGCAGATGTAACATTTCTCTGTCTCTGTGTCTCTATTCAAAGACATATAATTAAACATATATATTCAAAACTATTGAAATAATTAACACTCTAGATCAACCATAACCCTACTTCACACAGTGTGTGATATGTTTAAGCTCCTTTTCTTATTTTTCTCTGTTGTTTGATTATTTTTTTTTCCTGGAAATGCACTTGAACCTTTGATTTTCTCAGTTGAGTGAATCTCAATTCATTATGCTACCTTTCTTCTGTTAGTTTTCCTTGCAAAGTCGAGTGAAGTGAATCCACGGGCAGCAAAGTTTTGTCTTCAGGCCATGGAAACAACATTCATTGATCAGATTGTTCTCTTTCTACAGTGGATAATGGTCTGAGGAGGGAAGTGGCCCGCCGCTATGTAAGCTTCTCTGAAGATCTCAGAAGCACAATATTTGGAGAAGAACATCGCAGTGCTCCCAACCATTCCCAGAGAGCAGAGAGCTTTGCTGTGTGGGGTGCTCAGACCTTCACCTCTGGCCAACATTACTGGGAGGTGGATGTGTCATCCTCTTCCACCTGGATTTTGGGAGTCTGTTATGATTCCAGCACAAGTGATACCAGCAACATTATTCATTTTGAAGAAGCATTTCTCCTGGCCTCCCTGAAGAGTAACAACCATTACATCCTCTACACCAGTGTTCCACCCTTAACTCACTATGTGAAGAGGCCCCTGAGTATGGTTGGGGTGTTTCTGGATTGTGACCATGGAACAGTGGGTTTCTATGATGTTGACAAAGGTTCCCTCATACATTGTAACGTTCCAACCCAGTTTACTTCTCCTCTGAATCCCTTTTTTTGGCTTGGCCCCCCATGAAATGTCAGGTTTGATGATGATTCTTTGTGAACTCCCATATGGAGGAGCTCGCCACCCTGGGATATTTTTATGTGAGACAGCAGGATTGTTTTGGAGCACGTTGTAACTTCATGAGCACAGTGTCATCATAATTAGAGCTTGGTTAGAAACCACACAGCATACAACTGCAATGAATATATGAACGTTTTCTATTAAAATTTATTTTAGTAAAGAACTTTGAAACTTTCACAGTTATCTGACCCCAGTACTGTTTCATCATCCTGTAAAGAAATTCAATGTCTATTAGTGTACACTCCCCGTGGGCATACCTCTTAACTCCAACACCTGAAAAATCCTTTTCTACTTTTACATTTGTGGGGTTGTATATTCTAAGCATGGTATGCTAATAAAATGATAAAATATGTGGCTGTGGCATCTTCTTTCCCATTTAGCTGAATGCCACCAAGGCACATCATCAGGCAAACAGCCTTTCATTCCCATAGTTGACTATGTCTTGGGTAGTGGAGTGAAGTCTCTTCTCTCACTTTACTAAATAAAATGAAGTTTGCAAAGGTCTTTCTTCAAATCTGGCCTTTTGGGGTAGATGCAAATGCCTGACAACCAATCACTTCATCAAGTCCTGGTCATTCATTACATTTCAGCTCAATTTTTTTCAGGAAGCCCTTCACGACTGCAGAGATCACACACTCTAAGCATAACATCCAACATCACCAATAACATCCAACATAAATTCAACAAACTGGTAGTTAATGATAACTGCTCAGTACAAATTCCAAATTTTCCAAATGGAAAATCTTTCCTGGTGCTGTATTGCTATTACCCAGAGCACTGTTTAGGACATATCAGACAAAGCAAATGTAGTCAATGAGTGGACTAAAAAACAAATAAGAGATTAGTATTGGGGCCGGTGCCATGGCTCACTTGGTTAAACCTCTGCCACCAGTGCTGGTTCTGTCCCTGTTGTTCCTCGCTCCTCTTCCAGTCCAGCTCTCTGCTGTGGCCCAGGAGGGCAGTGGAGGATGACCCAAGTGCTTGGGACCAGGAGGAAGCACCTGGCTCCTGGCTTCAGTTCAGTGCATCGTCAACCCTAGCGACCACTGGGGGAGTGAACCAATGGAAGGGAATACTTTGTCTCTGTCTCTCTCTCTCACTGTCTACAACTCTACCTGCCCCTCACCCCCCCAAAAAAAAAGAGAGAGAGAGAGAGTTAGTATTAACAAAGTTATTCTAACATCAAGAACATTCATGTTTGGCTCAGTGGTTTCAGATCCACTTGGAATGGCCACAACTCTTTTTGGAGCACTTGGGGACATGTCCTGCTCCTCTGCATATTCTAGCTTCATGGTAACAATGGGCACTATGGGCAACAAGAGGTGATGGCTCAAGTACTTGGTTTCTCCCACCCTCATGCAAGACCCAGAAATACATTTCTGGATCCTAGCTTTGTCCTTGCCCAATCCTAGCTATTTTGGGTAGTGAATTGGCAGGTGGAAACTCTGTAGGCTTAATATTAGGTAATTGGCTAACTCAAGTCACTACTAATTCAACTAACTGTGATGGTCAATCCTGTCTCAAATGTCCAAAATCTACAATATTTCTGGGTGAATCTCTCAATGTGTCAGAAGATGAAACTAGTTTTATCTTTCCCCAAGACCACAAACTCTTTGTTTTAGAAATAAAAGCACCGTGAGAAGTGTGTGCGTGTGTGTGGGGGGGGGGGCAGTTTGTTGAAAATACAAAGCAGCAATCATACCAAAAGTGAGTTTCTGCTTTATACTCCCAGCCAGAACACAAGACGACAGGATTTCCTCATCAATGCCAAGCTCAGAATAAATAAATACACACACACAAACAAAAAAGAACCACCATGGAGACAGCATCACATTACAGACTCTTTCTCTTGATAATTTCTGGTTTCCAGCTGACCAGATAGGTTGTTCTTCTTCTGTTTTAAAAGAGATTCATTTTATTATTTATTTGAAAGTCAGAGTTACACAGAGAGTGGAGAGGCAGAGAGAAGGAGATTTCCATCAACTGCTTCACTTCCTAATTGGCCGCCACGGTCAGAGCTCCCAAGCTAGGAGGCAGGAACTTCTTCCGGATCCCCCACACAGGGGACAGGGGTCCAAGCACTTGGGCAATCTTCACTGCTTTCCCAAGCCATAGCAGAGTGTTGCATCAGAAGCGGAGCAGTCGGGACTCGAACTAGCGCTCATATGGGATGCTGGCACTGTAGGCGGCAGTTTTACCTGCTTCCCCCAGTGCCAGCCCCTTGATGAATTGCTTCTCTCACTGTGTCATCCTTTCTGTGCATGTGAATGGTTTTATCAGCTGAAGCTGTTAGTAATTAACTTTCAGATTGATCAAAAGCACAAACGAATATTCCAGATTCACTGTCCAATGACCCAGGCTGCACCCCTGCGTGGACTCTGAAAATTGGAGCCAGTTCTCCAGTCCCAAAGGTGCATAGTGCCCTTGTCAGCTCCACATACAAGTACTCCATCAGAATTTGCAGTCAATGTGTTAATAATAGCTTTATGTCCAGACACAATTTGAATGAAGCATCCATCAGGGAATTTCCACTGTTTGATGTTCTGTGGCGAACCAGAGCAAATGTGTAATGTCTTGGATGTAACACTCCAGCTGTCACTGATCCTTTATGATTTGTTAATGGCACTCTCATCTTCCCAGCCACCAGATCCCATAATCGTATTGTAGTGTCATGGCTTCCTGTAATAATTTGTGGTTCTGCAGCTTGACACTTCACTGTAGCAACTGCATTTGTATGTCCAGAAAATGTGTGTACACTGGCGCTTGTTCTCACATCCCAAATCTGTGCAGTTGAGTCTCGACTACAGATTACCAGCACATCGATTGTTGTGTACAAATCCAAGCCCTACACTGTGCTCAGATGTCCATGATAATGCCTTAGAACCGTATAACTTTATTTTACACTGAGGGCTGAGAGTGCCATGCTTTTGCATAAGCTGACACTGGCAGGACGTTAGAGGGCAGGAGGATGGCAGAAGTCTCTGTGCCTCTCCTCTGCCTTAGAGGAACCACCTCTTCCCCGCTGCCACCCTCCTTGCAGAACTCTAGTCCTGTTGTAGTTTATATCACAAACCTCCTTCACCTATAGTTAGGGTGGTCTCGGCTCTTTCAGATGTTACTTTCTGGGTTGTTTCACTGTCTCATGTTTGGTTTTTCAGGTCTTCCTTCACTCCCGTATCAAATACCTGGCAGGAAACGCCCCTATGGGAGCTCTCTGTCTCTCTCAGTCTATAGAAAGAAAGAAAGAAAGAAACAGGGTTAGCTACAATTTGAAGATTTTAAAAATTCATGGGTACTACATTCTACCACTTGTCTTCACCAATCATCATCCAATTCTATGGACACTTTCTTCATCTTTTCTACAATTTTAGGTGTCTGGGAAGAATTCAGAGAGGAAAACCAAGCTTTTTCCTAAGGACATTTGTCAATAATGGCGACAATAAGACAAATAAAATAATTTTGGAGGTATACCTATAATAATCATAGGACTTGGTAATAGAGTTTTTTTTTTTTTTGACAGAGTTAGACAGCGAGAGAGAGAGAGAGAGACAGAGAGAAAGGTCTTCCTTTTGTTGGTTCAACCCCCCTCGCCAAATGACCGCCACAGCTGGTGCACTGTGCCAATCTGAAGCCAGGAGCCAGGTGCTTCCTCCTGGCCTCCCACACAGGTGCAGGGCCCAAGCACCTGGGCCATCCTCCACTGCCTGCCCGGGCCACAGCAGAAAGCTGCACTGGATGAGGAGCAACTGGAACAGAATCCGGTGCCCCAACCAGGACAAGAACCTGGAGTGCTGACGCAGCAGGCAGAGGATTAGCCTAGCAAGCCGCAGCACCAGCCTGACTTCTTAAACCATTAATACAATCTTGATGTGAATAGAAGGGGAGAGGGAGCGGGAGAGAGGAGGTTTGTAGGTGGGAGCGAAGTTATGGGGGGGAAAAAGCCATTGTAATCCATAAGCTGTACTTTGGAAATTTATATTCATTAAATAAAAGTTTAAAAAATGTTAAATACCAGATAGCAATATGAGTCACATATCTAATATTAAATTTTCTAGTGAACACAAAAAAATAAACCAAATAAAATTAACATTAATGATATTATTAAATTTCTTACACACTAAACATTTTAAATAGCTATTGTTATAAATATTACTAATGTATTTTACATATTTATATGCTAATTTTGTGTGCAATGTACATTTTACACCTCAACCATCCCTGGCAATACATATTCTCTTTTAGTCACTTGTTGACTCAAGTTCTTTTGCTCTTCTTCTCTGTTTCTCTGAACTGTTTTGAAACATGCCTGCTCAGATGTGCAAATCACTGAAGAATCGGCATACAGTGTAAAGTATGGTGCAGATTACAGAGTGGCACACTCTACCCAGGGATAGGGAATTTTCTTTCTGGCTGTTTATAACATCATTTGTGGCATCTTCTCTGCATTTATAAAAATGCATCTGCATATATTAACTGTCATCGGAGGCTCTGACTAATAGAACCGAGAACAAGATAATTCTTGTGAAAGCTGTTGGTGTTGTTTATTGGTGTTCAGTAATGAGTTGCATTGTCTCATTTAGGCGAGGAAGAGGTCCTGGGACATAGTGTTTGCTTACAAACAGTGGGGTGACATGCAGGGGAAATGTACACTGTGCTGTAGAGATGAGGGACACCAGTTCCAATATGTACCTTTGATTTCTAAAACAACCTGAATCACAGTGGAAAAATGTTTCATTCTCTTCTAGTTTTGTATCTCTCCTATATAACAGAGGAACATTTCTCAAACCCTGCACTAAAAGTTTTGTTCTTTGGGGGCTGGGAGATAGGATTAGGGTGGGGCATGTGTGAGTTCTCTGGGCTTCCTGGCTTATTGTGTGACTCCTCACCTGTATGTGATCTGCCAATCATCACTCCTCAGGCACCAGACAAATGAGCCACTCTAATTCTCCTAATCCTTTCATCTGTAGGTTCATGGAACTGAAATTACAAAATATATGGCATTTTCTATTTTTCTTTTCTTTTTTTTTCAAAAGGCATCACATATTTATTACTGAACCAGCCCACTGGTCACAGCCCTAATCAAACATGTCCAGCTGTCCAGATGATGGTGACATCTTCAGCTTGATGTGGTGATAGTGATGTTGTGACATTGAGACAGAAGAAATGAGCACGCCATTCAAGTGCAATTCCTTATAGACCCAGTTTGGTTCTTCTCCAATGTCTCCTCTTGGAGTTATACCTGATTTTATTACCAGTTTTCATCCGAATCCATTGCGGAATGGGGCGGTTTTGTTTTTGT